ATCCAGTGTCAAATTATTGCAGAAGTGGCCATTTTTCGCACACTTCATAGTTTTTGTGCTGCATGATTCGTGTGTAAATGAGATGCTATTTTCCTCCCCAAGAGCAAACTTGACGATTGTTGTGTGGTGATGTGGAACATTTTTCGAAGGAAGCATATATGCGCTGAATTCTTCTTACTGTACTCGATTTTTGCAAGTTTCTGTGAGATCGATTTTCATGTACTGTACTGCAAATGTGCGCAGATATACAGTGTTAGCATCATTCGGGATTTAAAAACGTGAGAATGGCGAGAAACGATCATTTATTCGAGAGAGCTCATCGATGTGCAATTTTTTTTATCGAAATGTGCACAGAAGCTTTTGATTTTTGAATTCTAAAAGTGCAGTGGATTATTTGAGGCAATATTTCCGCTGGTTATTCACAGGTTAAATGACGAAATTGAATTTTTTAGATTCACTTTTTGCGCATTTCACTTCAATAAGTGAGTTCCGCAATCAATTGACTGATTGATTTTAAAATTAATTTTTATCCCGGAATTTTTGCGTGAATATAGTGAATCCATTCGCGAAAACGTTTTCAGCAGTGACTAAAAATATGCTCATTTTCAAAACGTTTGACAGGAGTGAATCGATTTGTAATTTTTCCACTTAAAAATTTGAAGTGATTATGGAAAAATGCGCGTAAATCCCTTTTTTGCGAATTATCGACATTTTGTGGGCTGGAAAATCTGGTGAATATCCAAAGAAAGTAAATTTTTGCGTCATCTTCGCTTCATTTTTGCACTGATCGATTTCCGTACCGGAAATGCGCGAATATTCCGTATAATGTTTTTCGCTTGCGAATATCTTGATTTTGAATGATTCAATGAAAATTGACGCGTTGGAAAATTAGTTTATTGATTAGAACTACTGAAAAACCTGAGTTCAATTTTCAATCGCAAACTATAGCTATTGCAGAAACATGACTCATTTCCTTATCATATTTGCATAGATAACTTTTACTTTTTGCCATAACCGTGATGGTTTCTGCAGCGGGAATTCTTGCACAATATGGAAGTTGATAGATTTCGCGATTTTCGCTGAACAGAATTAACTTTCCAAGAACAAGAGTAGTTTTTCAAATGTATTTGTGCATAAGATGTTTTCCGAGGCACAAAAGTTTGTGCAAAAAATACAGAAGGTGCAGCTCAGCAAAAATTTAAATACGTTTTGATCATATACAAATTTTAGAAAGAGAACCAACTTTCTCAAATTAATTTTTGACCTGTTGATTTGATCACTCAATTGTGATTAATTTTATATATTTTGGAAATGGACATTAATTTCCTTGATTTTTGAGATAATGTGAACCTATATTTGTCAAAAAATAAATACACAATTTTGATCAGGAATTTTGCAGTGTAAATATGATTTATTGCATAAAATCATACGTTTGCGCAGAAAGTTTCCTCATCAGAGTGATTTTTGTGATTCATTTGACCAATATGGTAGTTTCAAATCAACTCTCATTTTCTTAAGATGGTGTCTATAAAAATTCAGAACCATTCCTTACAGTAAGAATACTTTTCTGGATTCATCCTCTGAAACTGTGACACGAAAGAGGCAATGATTCTGAAAAGTGACAATTTTTATTGAACTTTCTGAAGACCCTTCAACTTTGATTTTCAAATATTTTTCAACATGAAATGAAGGAAATAAAACAGCAGCAAAGCTGGTTGTTGAATCCAAGTCACAGAATGAAGCTGAAATTTGACCTGGTATTCCAAGAATTTTTCATGAAATAAGCAGATTCAAAAATACAGAATTGTATCTGGAATTTTGTTTGCATAAACAAGTTCAAAATTCATTGAATAGTGCATAAACACTGTTGGTCGAGAATGTTCCCTTTTCTGTCCCAGTGCAGTACAGTACTGTATTTTATTCCAGCAACTTTAGTCCGCCATTTTAAGAAGTCATTCGAACATATCATCGCCTTTGTAAACAACTTTTCATTGAAATGAGAGCATGAATCAGAAGAAAATGTTTGCCGAAGTCCGCGAAAAATAATTACATAAGTTTCGGAAGCGAGAGAAATTTCTTCGGATACAGTATTAAAACTTGATGAATTTCACTATTCTCAAGTTTTTATTTCGTGTCTTACGTTTCGATTGATTTTTCTGACGAGAATTATTTCATTTTTGTGTGAAATTTAACGGATACCTTCAAGATTTCAGGAGTTCTTTAAAAATCCGTGAGAAAATCCCTTGATTCATGCGAAGAAAATCCTTTAATACCTTCACGTGAACGTCGGAAGCCTCGAATTTGCGCTTGCACAATTTCTCACAAAGCTGCGATGAATTCAACGGGTTATATGGTGCGATTTTACCTTGAAATATCGTGAAAAACGTCAATAAATTTGGCCATGTAGATCTTCATTTCTGAGATTGTTCTATTTACGAACCATAACCACGACCATTCGAAAATCATGGGTTTATTGCATTCATTATCTAGAATTCAGCAAGAAAATCTCACGATTTGCGGCTTGAAAATATTCTTCATTTCATTATCAAGATCGTTTTAAGCTCAAAATTCTCTCATGCATCGTATCCATCGATTATTTGGGACTCGTGCACCATTAGGCTATTCGAACATGACGATTTTCCAATGAAATGCGTTGAAATATTGTGAAAAATCCTTCCCTGAGAGGAGGATAAATTCTGTATTTCACTTCAGCGATCGGTTCAAGCTTACAAAATTCACTCAAGAATCATTCAAATTCAGCGTCATTCGCAACTCATGGTACACGAATTCTTCGTCTTCTCGGTACAGATTCTCGCGCGAAATCCATGAAAATTAGTACACAAGCACTCTTTTCTTCACGCGAACGCGAAATCGTATCCGCACGACACACAATTCACGGGATTCGCCGCATTTCCAGTGAAATTCCCATCGGAATCGTTGACCTTTGAGGCGCCGAAAAATGACCAATTTCGCGACGTAATGATCATGATTATCACTGGTAGTTAGAAAGAAGAAACGCCAGTCATTACACCGTGGGAACTGGCTCAAGGGGAACTTTTTCCCTTCCTATACATAAAGTTCCGGGTTCTCGCGAACGAACGGACGACTGACTGACGTCGTGTGCTCGTGGGGAAAAAGGCGGAAGAAACGCAACACTTCTCACTCCACACTCCCATTATTGTTTCTGTTCTCTGCGAATTGAAGGTTTGGAAGTGATTCTCGAAGAACCCGAGTTGGAAAACTGTTCGACTGCGTCCACGACGGAAGATAGTTGTTGTTGCGACTGTGAAGACGACAATTGTTCGTGTTGTGCGGAATCCACTTCGTCTTCGGCCGACAAACGCGAAGAGTACGTGTTGGGGAATCCGTCCGGTCCCGATGGGAAAACTGAACGGCCGACCTTAGGTGAATAACCCCATTTCGGTGCTGTTTCTTTCTCTTGGGAAAATAAGGAAAAGCAGGATTGGATTCGATTGACCTAGTTTTTGAGCAACTTATTGCATTGCATTCGCATTATATATGCATTTTATCCACGAATCTGAGCAGCAAAAGGGCTGTTTCATAAGTTGTGTTGTGGAAGTTCTATACAGTATAGAGTTTTTTAGTGCACTATAAAATCTGCTATACCAGCAATTATCATGGTTTATATAAAGAAAATATCCAACTTAATGCATTGATATGACGAATAAAAGCTTTATTGCATTATTGTTTTCAAATTAGAATAATTCCTGCTCACAACTTTAAAAAAAGGTGATTAAGTCTGTAGAAAAGCACACTGAGAGAAAGTGACAATATGCTTTCTTATAGATTACAACTTTTATTTGTTTATAAACATGATGTATGTATTAGTTCACCTCCTGCTTTGATTTTATTTTCGGATGTGGTAACATATATATTCAGTACTGTGTTTTTATTTCTATGGAACCATATCTGAATGCAACTGCAAGAAACATACTATGTTTATGTGGTTTGAGAAATCTGTGTTATCATTTATTCTACTTTTTGTTTTCAGATTCTTTATGTGAGGAAATTGTGAAAGAAGAGGCAGTGGAACCAAACAAAGAGAGGTTGTTGGAAATCTACCATGAGACTGTGAGACAAAGGAACCCAAAATCTGTGTTTGCATCTATCCTTGCATTCAACAATGCTGCTGCTATGAACAATAATAACAATAACCAAACCAGCAGCAGCAATAACAAAGCCAAGATGGAAAAGAAGGTTGTGGTGGAAATTGTGGAGGAATCAGTGAGTTTTCCAGCATATACCCAGCTCCATCTGGTGGAATAAATATTAATTTTCTGTGTGTATATCCTTTCTCATATAGTCTTCCAAAGAAAATGCGGAAAAGTTCAGACTGCCATCAGTGAAGGACCTGAGATGCAGATTTGAACAAAGCCCAGGAAACAAACCTTCATTTACAAAGAAGTCTGCACCAAAACCAGTTCTTGAGCCAATGCAGCATCAAAACACCACCTTTTTGTCCAAGCTGCAGCAACCCAATCTGAAACCTGTTCCTCAACAACCTCCAAAACCTGTTTCCATTTCACCTGTAGCCAGGAAAATTGAGGCTGCCAAGTCAAGAATAGTTGGGGACAGTCACAAAGAAAATCCTGCTACCAACTCTGCTGCAGTTACTGCTGGTCACAAAGAAAATGAAATCAAGGTGAGTGGAAAAAAAGTTTNTAGCCAGGAAAATTGAGGCTGCCAAGTCAAGAATAGTTGGGGACAGTCACAAAGAAAATCCTGCTACCAACTCTGCTGCAGTTACTGCTGGTCACAAAGAAAATGAAATCAAGGTGAGTGGAAAAAAAGTTTTCTTCAGTCAATTCAAATGGTGGTATTATTATTATTTTTGTAATACAATTTTACAGAGCAAGTCCCCTGGAACAGAACTGCTGACATGGAAAGCCTTGTCCAAGCATCCAGAAACTGAGAAAAATAGACACCAGGCTCCAACCAGAAGCAGCAATGGGTCTTTGGATAATACTGATCACAAGTCTGACTCTGAAGACAGTGGCATCAACAGCAATCAATCCACTCCTGTCTGGGACCCTGTAAGCAATTATAATCTCTGCCTATAATGCAGCTTATTTCTGTTGAAAATACTGTATACCTAATTCCTAGAGGAAAAGTAACTAATTGCAGCATAAAATATAACCATGGAACTACACTGTCAGCATTTTTTTGGTGCAAATGTTCAGTCCCCTGAGATGGAAAAAACTCAGCTGAAGCATTTGTAATTGTTTATATGATGCTCAAAATAATCAGTAGTTTGTAATTTTAAATACTCCAAGAAAAAACTTCTTCTGTGACATTATGTCTTGAAAACTTTTGTGCTGATGACCAAAATATGAAATACAAAACTAAGTCAAACTTGGGAAATCACCTGCCCTTGATCCTTTCAAATACCATGATGGACTTCACAGCTTCTAATTCAGCTTTCATTGTCAAATTATCCCTTGAATGTTATTGAATCCAATTTGCAAACTATGGGTTCAAAATACTTTTTTCTCCTTGTGTAGGTGCGTTTGGCCAAAGATTTGTACACTATTGACCAGCCAGATCCTCCAGGGACTGGAAGAACCTTGTCAAGACTGCGCCCAGTATTTGAGCGCTGTGACAACTTGCCAGACAAGAACAAAGCAGATAACAAGGGATATTTGAACATGGAAGGATACCTTGAGAAACTTCCTTCTGGCAGAAGGAAAGTGACCTTCTGGAATGCCTGGAAAAGGCGATACTTTAGACTGGAGAATGGCTATTTGAGATATTATCAGGTTTGTTGAATATTAATTTATGCATTAGTGCTCCAAAAATATTTCTGAAAACCTTCTATAAAGGGAAATTATTCAATAAAAACTGACTTATTTTTAAGAAACATATTCAGACTTGAATCAAAGTTCATTTTAATTCCAGAATTTGACTAATCATAGTTCCAATAACTTCTCAATGCATACAATTCCATCTGAATTTCCAGCTGCATCCAGTACAATCTGTCCTTTTCAGTGAAACTAGAATTAATTAAAATTGAAAGCATGAAATGCCAATGGAATTTAAAACTGCCAGCACAAAATCAATATACTTGCATGACTGGAAATGAAGAATTTCTGAGACCCAATGCAGTTTTGAAGCAGACTTTAGTTTTTGAGGTTTTGATGCTTGAATGCAATTTTCTTCCCACTTTGCCACTTCACACAAAATTAAATAATTTTTAATAACCTTCATGAATGCAATATAAATCATAAAAAATAATTCCACAGTGACTCCAATTGAGTCTGTGTATGCCTAGCTTTCATTTTGCATTGTTGATGTTGAAAAGTGATCCATATGTTTTGGGTGAGCCTGAAATTTTATTTTGAACATTCACTGAAATTTTCCCATGTCTTTTGACAGAGTCAGAATTCAGAGAAACCCAGTCAAACCATGCAGTTGATGGGAGGCAGTGTTGACACAATAGAAAACATGATGTCTGGGAGTGCTGATGAGACTGTCCTCCAAGTGAGTCCACAGACTTTTCCTCATAAAGTCCAGTAATCAAACTTCACACAATTTTCATTTTGACAGCAGAAGCAAATGTTCCCCAATGTTCTTGGAATTGATGATGGAGTGAGTGGATCTTTGAACTCATTTGAATTTGTATTTGACATTCATTGATTTTTTGTTTCAAATCTGAAATGCTGTATTCCATCATCACAGAAGGGACACTACCTAGTGGTCAAGTGTGCCACCAAAAATGATTTGCTGACTTGGCAAAAAGCCCTGATGACTCATGTGCAAGAGAACTTTGCAGCCACTTATGTCCAACCAAGCCCTCTGCCTGTTGAGCCTTCAATGTTCAAGAAGGTTGTGGTCCTGGACATTGGAAGCAGGTCCTTGAGAGCAGGAATTCTTTCCAAGACCCGTCAGTTATTGAATTGTAGTCTCTGAAAAAAAGGGTATTTGATTGATAGTATTTTGCTTTATTTACAGCAACATTCCCCCAAGTCTTCCTGCCAAGTTCTGCTTTGGTGGACAGAAAGAACTCATCCAAGAGAGTCTTTGGTTTTGAGGCCTTCTGCTCTGATGACAGAGCTCATTCCCAGTTGGTCCATCCCTTGAGAGTCACCCACAAACCATCTCAAAGGGTATGAACCCATTTTTCCATATGCTGTATGGATATTTAATCCTCCCAGGAAATAAATAGTCCACAACATGCCAGGTTCAACAAGCAGGCATGCAAGCACCCATAGTGAATGGTTGGCCTGGTATGGGTGAATTTCCTGTTACAGGTGCTTGTTGAGCATGCAGGCTAACCTTGAAAAAATCAAGGAGGCATGATATAGCACCCATATTACAGGTGGTACTGCACAATTTGATCCTAATCCATTGTCAGACTACAGAAAAATTGCGAAGTGGTTGGATTGTAAGACACTGTGTAAAATTAAGAATAATTAACAGAAACACTCAAAAAGTAGCTGAAGGATGTTGGATTACAAGTGAACATCCCAGTAAATTGTGGGATGGTTGAATTACAAGGTACAGTACCACCAAACTACCACCTGTACACCCATAATATATGGCTGGTTTGGTTATGGGTGGTCACTTGTAGCAAAATGCCTCAGTATCCATAATACATTTTTCTGTTGCTCATTTGTCATGGGTGAACTACCGTATTTACTCAAGTACCACGCGCCCTCAAGTAAGGCACGCACAAGGGTTTTTCAGTTGAAAATTTTGCAAAAATCTTATCCCCAAGTAAGACGCGCACCCCAATGTTTAGTGAATCTAAAACCATAAAATTTCAACAAAAAAATGTGACTTCAGGCATGAATTGAACAAAAATCTGATGAATTTTCACCTTTTTCAATACAAAAATGTTTTCTTGTTATTTTTGTTCCAAATTTCTCCATTATGATTAAGTATAATGCTTAACTTCCTAAAACTTCTTGCAAATTTTGTACCCACTTATGACGCGCACCCCTTTTTTTCTTCTGAAATCTGGGGAAAAAGGTGCGTGTGGTACTTGAGTAAATATGGTATATGCCTTTTGCCATATGGGTGAATTCCTTGCTGGGATGTAACAGTTCACATCATTATGTTTATTTTCATCACAGCATCAATGGGACTGGCCAACCATTGAAGGCATGCTGGAGCACACTATAAGGAAGACCAAAGTGGACCACAACCTGAGTGACTATGAAGTGATTGTGACCATCCCTTGGCACTTGTCCAGCAGAGAGTTCCAGACCAAACTGTTGGATGTCTTGTTCAAGTCCTTGGGTTTCAAGACTGCATATGTTGTGCCTCAGTCTTTGGCTGCCTTTCATGTGTACAATGCCAATTCTGGGATTGTGGTGGACATTGGAGAGAGGCTTGATGTTCTGCCCATCACTCATGGTACATAGTTTTATATTAAATTCATGTATTGATTCAAGGGGTTTGGTTTTGTTTACCCTTGGTGAATTCTCATTAAATTGTTGACACCATTTTTTTCATATTAAATTAATATTTCATCCTTCTCTCTGAACCCCATTTACATTTTTGCTCAGAGCAATAAGTCAAGTTGTTCTTTGAAGAATGTACAGGAAGTCAAAGTACTGCAAAATATTTCAATTGATTTTCAAAATCTTCTGTATGATGATGTACAGTATTAGATATTTGACAACCACCATTTTCCAAGAATAAGTGGTATGAGATGAAAAATGTTTGGTTCAAAGTGTGATGAGTGAAAGAAGCTTGCCAAATTGAAGAAAGTTGACTTTAAATGACAAAAATCTTGAGGCTGGTGTCACAACAGATTTGATTCAGAAAAGTGGATGCCAAAAATAGCTTTGTAAATTTACTAGCAAAATGTATAAGCCATCATTGATCCAACTCACTTACTGGAACAATCTTGTGGATTCTGACTGTGTATTCCTCTATATGTATTTCACATAAAATCTCTGTTATAAGTGTAATGTTGTAATTGTTTGAAATATTTTTTTTACAGGTTTTGTTGTGGAATTGGGAGCCAGCAAGGTGTTGTGTGGAGGGGAAACCCTGGCCTCACACTTGAGCATGTGCTTGCCTGGGGGCAGTCAAGTGTTTGCAGCACAAGGAGACAAACTGGCAGTTAGATATGCCATGGAAAGACTCTGTTATTGCGCCATGGACTACAGCTCTGAGATGGACTGCTTTGAGTCAGATGCCAGGCAATTCCACAGGGCTGTTCCTTTGCCTGTCAAAGGGGAGGAGAGCATTTCTGAATGCGAATCTCCTTTGTGAGTTGCAAAATATTTAGTGATTTATATATATATATATATATATATATATATATATATATATATATATATATATATAAATATTAGTCAAACCATCTTGGAGAAGGTGTCACATTTTAATTACATGCACATGCAGCAGGAATATTCTTCATGAATGCTGCTGAGTCACAATAAGTTTTATCTTCAATTTTTCATTCCAAATCAAATTGAGGATCCCTACTCTGAATTTTATTACTGTACATCTGGGGCTTCTCTTGATGAAATTTCCAATTGTCAAAAAGTTTTTGTGAGGAATTTCCAAGCTTGAATAATGAGGTCCTTTGAAAAAGATTTGTTGAATCTGTGTAAAAGCTTCCATGAAATTGAAGAGTTGACATTTTATCCAAGTTTCATTATTCAGTCTTCAATGTATTTTAAAATTTACTGCAGTAACAATGCTTGTGTTGCATGTTCAACACTGTTTTCTTGCCCTGAACGTACTCATGGAATAATCTAAAATCAGTTGAAGAGTTGACATTCAATTCATGTTTCATTACTGTGGCTAATACCATTTAAAAATTCAGTGCAATGTTTGTAACATATTTTGAACATTGTTTTCTCATTGTAAGCAATTTTTAAAATGTCCTGACTTATCTTAATGTGGAGGCTCTCATTATACTACCTTTATTTTTGGTTATATACCTCCTGATCCTTATTGTAATTTAGAGGCTTTTTTGCATCAAATTGAATTTATTGGCAATTCATTAACCTGTGACTGTGAAGGATTCCAAAACTCATCTTTGTTCAAATATTTCAGGACATTCAAAATATTTTTGTGTAATATAAAATGCCAGTGTAATTTAAAAGGTGATTGAGATAGTTTAAAAAAATTTCAACATATGTAACCCCTGAATGTTTTTTTTTCCTTTTGGTACACAGGGAAGTTGAGCTGGACTGTGGAAGGTTCCATGGACCAGAACCGGAAAAGTTTGGTCTCAACACCCCACAACTGAGTGGTCCCTATGTATTCAACCACATGTTCCGATAGGTCCACTTACGGAAAGTATATTTGTAGTATAAAACCCTGTTACACATATTTATAAAATTTATTTTAGGAATGTGGAGTTGATGTGAGGAGAGAAATGTCCAGAAACATTTTCCTCTCAGGAGGACTGACTCTCATCCCAGGGTTTCCTGAGAGACTGTCCAAAGAGTTGGACAAACTCACTCCAAGCACACTTACACCAAAGGTTCAGGAACATGCCTTCTTTTTTCCTTTGTATACATAATTCTTATTTTTTTTGTGAATAGGTACATGCATCTCCTCATAGGTATCATGCAGCTTATTTGGGAGCACAAGCACTGTCTGAGTCTCCAGCTTTTGCAAGGATTGCAATTACAAAAGAAGAGTGGAGAACTGGTCAGAAGTTATCTATGAGCAAGTTGAGTGCTTGAGGCAAGGAAAAAAAACTGTTGGTTTGTTTGTTGTTGCGGTTGTGTGACTGGGTTAGTCCCAAAGTTGTGGAGCATCTTGTGACCAAAACTATTCTAGGGTTGATTGAATAGAATCCGTCCAAGTTTCTGGGAGCAGTCCCTCAATTTTGCTGTGCAAAAGGTTGTGTGCAAGAGAATATAACCTGTTGAACCTGTGACTTTTTGAAGCTTCAAATTTAATTTGCAGTGATATTGAAGTTTGAGTGAAGTAGCAGTTTTAAAAAAAGCAGAAAATTTGAGGTTGAGATTCAGTATATGTGTTCACTTGTATTTCTCAGATGCCAGACAATTCTGGATATAACAAAGCATGGATGAAAAAAAAAGAGCTGGCAGAATTGTCAAAGAGCCAGAAACAAAACAAAGATTCCTTTTTTCAGGACTCAGTTCTACTGCATCTTCATTTCTTGTACAAGCTGACTCCACAAGGGAACTTCTCATTGGTCAGAGGTAACTTCTTCCGTCGAAGAAAGTGAGGAAACGTCTACCAGAGTATGAACCACAACATCCTCTTATAAGACACCTAACTTCAAATCTTAACAGTACCTAATTTTTAACGGTTAAAATTTACCAAATAATGTTCAAATTTTCTAAAATTTACTGTTCTTGACTGCTTCTGACTCAAATTGAGAACACATTGCTTATTAGGTTGATCTTTGAAGTCTTTTAATGCAGAAATAAATGTCAAAACACCATTTATAACAAAAACTTCATTGAAACACAATTGAAAGTATTTGTTGAATAAATCAGGTACTTCAGATGTTTGCTAGTTATTCGGAAATTTTCTTCAGCATAATAAATGTATCAAAATTAGCAATAAAGTTTGCAATCCTTATCTGAAAATTTTGTAAAGACAATGGCAGTTGAAATTACAGTATATCTGATGAAAGGTAAAAGTTATCTTTTCTCTGAAGAACGCTTCAGATAAAATTTCACCAGCAGCTGAAATAAAATATTTCAATTTTTCATTTTGAGAAAATTCTCTAAACCAATATTTCAAATTTTTGAATAAATTCCACTAATGCTGCTTCATTAGTTAAAAAAACTCATTAAAAAAAGCTGAACTTCTTGATTATCTGCAATGAAGTCTTTCTAAAAAAATATGTCTTTAGTCTGCAAGAATTGTATGAAACTTTGCTTTTCTAAAAATGTTTTTTGGAAATTTGCCAGTCTGCAAAAAAATTTATGGAAATGTTTTGGTCATCCTGCCCAAATATGTTGGGGGACTCTCCTTTATGCACAGTGTGATATATGCATGATGTGCAGTATACTTACTTTGGAAGTGCCCCATGGACCACTTTGGCCCCCTTGAGCATGAGTTTGCATCCAGTCACATAGTCATTGGCATTCTCAGGATCCAAACAAGCCAAGGCATTCAGACAGTTGTAGTCCTTGTCACTCCTACTTTACTCCATTCACCGGGGGGTAGAGTCCAGTAGTCACCACTTCTTTCCACACCATCCACAGTGACGACTCGCTGGGTCCTTTGGTTTCGGTTCAGGTGGTCGATGTGGTTCACGATAATGGATACCCTTGAGTACCACTAGGATGAGCATGTTGGTGAGGTTCAAGGTGAGGACTTCACTGGTAGTGGAGGACCTAGAGGCCACTTCCTTGAAGAGGTTGAACAAGGAGCCAAAGGACCCCTTGATGGTCCTGTCTTCTGGTGGAGTCATCTTGGTAGGTTTCTTCATTTGATCCTTGTCTGTTGATGGTGCTGCTGAGGACACCACTATCAAACTGCTCATCACCATCATTATGATGGTCAGCTTTAAAACTCTCTTCATTTTGTTTCCTGTGTTATGCAATCCTCCTGATGGGATAATAACCACACCATAATATCAAGCTATTACCTTCATATCCACTAGAATATTTGCTACATGCATGATATGGTCATTCCACAGAAAAAAAGGCACAATATTATTATTCACACTTCAATTCACTGCCATGAAAACAAAACTGTGAAGCTTGACCAGCATAAGAGAGTTAATTAGTTTGGGTGGAGAAACTTTCTCCTGCTGGTCACTGGGTGGAAACCAATTCTATTGCCTCAGGGGGGAAGAAGTAATAAAATCCACAGCCTTTTGAATGTCATTTCCAGCTTGCTGCACACTTGAAAGGGTTTGGAATTTTCAAAGCATCACATTAAAAAAAAAATTTTGATAGGGATATTGTGAAATTTTAATTGCTTTTTTTGGTCTTCTAGAAAGAAAGAAATTTAACCAATACTGTACAAGATACATTTTTAAAAGGAATACTGTTGTTCCCTTGTATATATTTCAACAGTTTTGAACCTGTTGGAATTTTGAGTTTGTAATTTTTGTTTAATCAGTAGGGTGAATTAAAAGCATTTTAATTACATTTAATTAATGGGATAATAATAATAATAATACATTTGAGGTGAATTTGTGATCTGTGAAAAAATAATAAATAGCCTCTTCCCTTTTTGAATCACAATTATTTCCTTTATTCACAGTTCAAATAATGTCTGATGCAATTTTCAAATACTGTTGTATTTTTATTTTTTGCGTCCTGAAAAACGCAGAATACCGAAGGAAAAACTCCAGGAACATTTTATCACGTGATCACCGAAAATTCCGGTTCAAAAACCACCTGTTTTCTCCCTTCAAATATCGACCCTTGCTTGGTAGGATTTTTTCGCTCATTTGAAACAGTATCAATTTATGCCTGGCCCGGATCGGTTAATTATGCACATTAAAACGAACACACCTAAAACTCAGAACCACTAAAGGAGTTTTAAATAACTGAGGAAAAGAAAAAACCCTAAGATGAGCCTTATATATTAAAGGATTTGGTAAAATAAAAGAACCAGGTCTTTGCACCACAATAAAAGTGGTAGCAGCAGCAGATGAGTGTAAAATTAAAGATTCCATGAACAAAAAGAGCAAAACTCAGCAAATTAAGCAAAAATGGAAACAACTATTTTCTATTGATTATAATACACACTTTCATATATGACATGAGAGGTTTAATTAGAATCGTTAAAAACTTTACTTACTTACTCCGATCTAATTAAGACTTGAGTTAACTTTTCACACGTAGTTCTAATTAAAAAACCAGTTACCCCAGCAACAAAGTGAGTCATTATCATATTCTTCATTTGTGTGCATGTGGTACAATATATTCCTTTCAAAGTTTATTATATTGATGGAGAAAAATTTTACAATTCTTTCTTTCATCCAATTTTATTTTAGAAAAGTGCTGGATTTGAGTCCTTTGTTGAAGCAACCTGGTAATACTTACAACTCAATCATGGTTTGAAAAGTGAATTCATTTGTTCAATAATTTAATATCATGAGGCATCACTCATGTATAAAATTTTTTGCACTCTCTTCAACCTGCTGAAATTTTGAATTTTCTATGCTCATGGAATCAGGATAAAACTTGGGGGAAAATAAACCCCATTGTTTCAATCCAAGCACAAGTTGAATGTTCTGGAATTTTTTAAAGGGCTCATAGAAAAGAGCAAAAATATAAAATGCACAATTCAAGAAAATGGGTACAAAAAAACTGCAGAATATTTCTATAGCACTCTGAAATCCAGTCTATGAGACAACTTTGAGAAAATTTTCCTGGACATCAAATGACAGACTTTGTTCAATTTTGGGATTTTCACTGGGGAGAAGATGTTGCTGCAAAGTTTGGGTGATAACTGAAGTAAAATGTTGGGCAAGAAAGCGACGTTTCACCAGGAAAATTTCACTGTGATTTCC